GCTTTTGCAAAGAAAAGAAATTTTCCAAAGCTCTTTTGATATGTGAGACTATGCTTGCTAAGAACTTCACTCTTCCCTTGGAGGCCTCTGTTTTGTTAATTCAATGGCTTTGCAGGAATGGAAACATTGGGAAAGCTGTCTTTTTGAAAGATAGTTTCTCAAGAGAACAACCCTCTGCGTTGCTTTATGTGCACAGAGCTCTAATACATGGTTTATGTCAGTCTGGGGCGGTAGGCAAAGCATCAAGCCTCTACAAAGAGTTGCATTTGCATGGCCTTTCACATGACAAAGAAGTGCATAATTCTCTAGCCCAGGGTTACGCAAAAGCTAAAAACTTCAAGAAAATTGGAGAGGTGCTTGGTGTCATGACCCGTAAGAACATGGATCTCACAGCTGCAAGTTATCGGAATTTATTGAGCCTTATGTTTGCAGAAAGCAAGCTCTGTCTTGCATTGAGCTTGAAAAAACTTGTGATTTCTCAGAACAACCTTCCACCTACACTGATATATAATATACTGATTTTCCGGATGTTCTCCGCGGATAAAGTCTCATTTCTGAATACAATTTTACATGAAATACAATCAAAGGGATTGCCACTTGAAGAAGTCTCTAACAATTTTCTCATACAGGGGTTCTCCCAGTGTAAAGATGTGACATCTTCCTTACAATATCTGAAAGACATGATGCAAAAAGGTCTGAGGCCAAATAACCGTAGTCTTAGAGAGGTTATAAAGTGCCTTTGCTGCAATGGGGAGCTTGAAAAGGCTTTGAACTTGAGCAAGGAAATGGAATTGAGAGGTTGGAAACTGGGTTCAGTCATTCAGAATGCTCTAGTAGAAGGCCTCCTTGCTCATGGCAAACTCAGTGAAGCAGTACAGTTGATGGACCATGTAGAACTAAGAGACCTAATTCCAGGAAACATAAACTATGATGTTCTTATAAAGAGGTTTTGTCAGCATGGAGAAGTAGACAAAGCAGTGGACCTTCTGAACATAATGTTGAAGAAAGGGAATAATTCCCCCCCAGACAGTAGCAGTTATGATTACATAATCCAGAGTTTTTGTTGTCATGACCTCTTGGATCAAGCTCTGGACTTTCATGCTGAAATGCTATGCAGAAGCCATACAGCAAACAAAAACACTTGGAGTGCACTTGTCCAATGCTTGTGCAGGGGACGGCGAGTTGCAGAGGCAGAAACATTGCTTGACACAATGGTTCATATGGGCGAGACCCCAACCAGGGAAATGTATTCCGCTGTGATTAATGGGTATCGCTTTGAGAACAATTCGATCAAGGCATCCCAAGTTTTACACAGAATGCAGCAAGATGGGTATGAGCCTGACTTCAACACCCACTGGGCTCTAATCTGCAATTTGAGCAGTTCCAGTGGTAAAAACAAATCTGAAGGATTTTTATCAAGATTTCTTTCTGATGTTGGATTTTCTCGGAATAACCCGAATGCGAAGAAGGGGTGATTTAAGAGCCCTTCTGTATCAAGATTGCGCACATGGGGTGCAAATTAGAAAATTTGAACATATATCTGAATTAGGAC